CAGGAGGATCACGAGTGAAAGAGGAGAAAGGAGGACAAGACAAGGGAAAGGAGAAGATAGACATACAGCCCGGAGAAGAGATCGAGGAAATTCAAATGGTGCAGGGATGCGATGACCGAAAATTCAGGATTGAAAAAGACTTGGGAGAGCCAATCAGGTCGAAGTTGATCAATTTAATAAGGGAATTTACGGACATTTTCGCGTATACAACGGATAAACTAACAGGGATTGAGGCCAGGGTGATCGAGCACAGACTTAATATTGATCTCAGTGTGAGGCCGGTAAAGCAAAAGAGGAGACATCATGGTGCGGAAATGGACAAAATCATCGAGCAGGAGGTCGACAAGCTGATGAACGCTGGGCACATTAAAAAGATTCAGTTCCCTGAGTGGTTATCTAACACGGTAATGGTGTCCAAGCCGGGATGAAAGTGGAGGATGTGCATCGATTTCCGTGATCTAAACAAGGCTTGCCCGAAAGATCTATACCCGCTGCCGAGGATCGACCAGCTGGTAGACTCCACGGCGGGGTGCGAGTTGCTAAGCTTGATGGACGCCTCGCAGGGGTATCATCAGATCCCCTTAGCGAAAGAAGACTGGAAGAGAGTGAGCTTCATAACAAACAAAGGCACCTATTGTTATGTAGTCATGTCGTTTGGATTAAAGAATTCTGGGGCCACTTACCAGTGGTTGGTCGACCAAATTTTCAAAGATCAGTTGGGGAGGAATATGGAGGTGTACGTCGATGACATGCTAGTAAAGAGTAAGGTGGAGGTGGACCACGTGGGCGACCTGAGGGAGACTTTCCAAACACTGAGGAGGTTCGGCATGAAGCTCAACCCGACTAAGTGCTCGTTTGGTGTAAAGGCAGGGAAGTTCTTGGGATACATGGTAACAAAGTGGGGAATAGAGGTGAATCCCGAGAAAGTAAGAGTTGTGATCGAAATGAAGCCACCAGCCAATGTGAAGGAAGTCCAAATACTAACTGGTCGAATAGCAGGGCTAAGTCGATTCATTTCCAAGGTGGCTGAAAAAAGCAGCCCTCTGTTCAAAACCCTGAAGCAGAGCTCGAAGTTTCAGTGGACAGAGGAAGCCCAGAAAGCCTTCGAGGAGCTGCAGGGGACGCTGGCTAACTTGCCCTTATTGGCCAAGCCAATTCATGGAGAGGAACTTGTGCTCTACATATCGGTGGGCGAGAGTGCAGTAAGCTCAGTATTATTGCGAGAAGAGGGAGTGGCGCAATTTCCAATATACTATGCTAGTCGAGTAATGCAAGGAGCAGAGTTGAGATACTCAGAAATTGAGAAGTGTGCATTGGCGGTGGTCGTGACAGTCCGAAAGCTGAGGCCATACTTCCTGAACCACAAAGTCAAGGTGCACACAAACATGCCATTGGAACAGACTTTAGGTCGACCAGCAGTATCTGGCCGGCTAGTAAAGTGGGCGGTCAAGCTGAGCGAGTACTCTATAATATATGAACCAAGAAGGGCGATCAAAGTGCAGGTTTTGGCCGATTTCATACAGGAAGGTACGAAGGAGGAGGAAGATGACGGAGGAATGTGGCAGTTGTTCGCGGACGGCTCGGTATCTAGGAGTGGGGCTGGCTTAGGAATAG